TAGAAAGACACTCAGTGAGCCCAGGGTGGAGCTGGGACCAGAACCCAGGCTCCCAGTCTCAGCTCCCTCCACCACCCCCATCTCTGAGGACAGTCATGAGGAGGGAGACACCTTCGCCAAAATTTGCCTGTTGTCCCAGAGTTGATGTCATATCCCTGAGCCCGCATACAATCAATCAAGGCTTGAACAAGTAAAAGGTAGAGTGGTTCTATGGCTCCAGTTAGGGTCTACCTGTCACCAGCTGCTGCTGGGCATGAATGGACACTCCTCAAGCCTTCCCCACATGGCAAAGAGCAAAGTCACTGGGCCTCTCCTGCAGACCTGGGCTTGGAAGGCCCGCCCACAGCTTGGAGCAGAGCTGCTGAACACAGAGGAAGAGATAGGTGGGGGGGATGCTGGACGTTCACTGCTTACTGACACCTGTTTTTCATAATCTAGGGGTATACTGAAACTCAACATATTTTTAGCCAAACAGTGAAAACACAGTTGGGTTTATAGCATGTTAGTTGTTTTGTTTTGATTTGCCTCTTCTAGAAGGATTGCCATACTGGTCCACATTCTGCACCTCTACCCTTTTTTTCTCCCAGGCCAATACATGAACAAGGGCTGTAGTGTGTTGGGCTGATGGGAGTTCAAGGAAAAAGAAGTGGAGTGGGATATATGTGTGTGTATGCTTGCATATATGTGTATATACATGCATGCATCAATGTGCATACATGCTAGTATGTGGTGCACGTCAAATTGCATGTGCATGTATGCATGTGTGTGTGTGTGTGTGTGACTGTGTGTGTGTGTGTGTGCATGTGCACAAGCACCCATGCTAGCATGCTTTAGAGGGGAGGGCACCTCAAGGTGATAAGGACTGGGCAGAGGGAAGGCTTATTGAGTGAGTAAATGAATGAATGAACGAATGAACAAAATACCCAGCCTTGCAGTCTCCTCTGCATCCTTCCTAGCCCCATAAAGAGAGAAGCGTTTTCTCTACGGCAGGTGATGGGTGGCCTTTTAGCATTTATCTTCACCATCATTACACTTTATAGGACCCTCTAAACAGACCACCACCACCTCCCTTACAGAACTTTAAGAAGAAAAAAAGTATCGGGCTTACTGGAAAATCCTTTCTCTGCATTATTTGCTCCTCAGTGACTGTGGAAATGACCCTGGGACTGAGGGAGGAGGGGGACTATGTAGGCTTGTATAACCAGGCATGGTAACTAGAAAGTTCTCAAAAGAAATCCCTAGCAATGAAGCATGAATTTGGGGCACATAGTGCTGTTAGCAGCTGGGTGGCCGGAGTGAACTGTTTGCAAAGAGGACTGTGATCATTACTGGCATGGCTTCGAGCATGGCCCTTTGCATTGTGACTCTGCAGGGGGAGGGGAACTTGCTTTTCTAGCCCATGACTCTGGGCTTGGCTGTGTAATTTGCTTTGGCCAAGGGGATATTAGCAAATATGACACAAGTAGAAGCTTGAAAAGTGCTTGCACATTGGAGTTTGCTCACTTTGGGCTCTTTTTCTTTTTTTAATTGACCAAAAGACTGCAGCCATTTGAGTGGCCCCAGCTGAACCCTCTGCCTGAATTGCTAACCCACAGAATCATGAGCACAGAAAATGGTGGTTGTTCTAAGTCACTGAGTTTTGAGATAGTTTGTTATGCAGCAACTGATAACTGATAAAAGGCTTTAAGTAAGTCATTTACTTCTCTGTGCCACCATTTCTTTATTTGTAAAAATGTAAGAATGTTAACTACATATTATGTATAAAGTACCTAATACAGAGTGAGATGCATCATAAACACTCATCAAATGGCTACAGATGTTAGGATCATCCCTGTTTTGGCAACAAAGAGAAGGAGGGCCAATGAGGTTAATTGACTTGGGCCAAGCTGGTAAGCGGGCTACAGCAGGAATTCAAATCCAGATCTGTCATGATCAGTGTGCACTGCTGTGATCCTACGTTGGCTTCCCTGCTGAGAACTCCCTTCCTCTTCCTCTCATTCCCTCTGCATCTTTAATTCCTGCCCATCTAAAAGCACCAAGCTCAAAGCTCACCTTGGAACATAGTAGCCCACTTTTCTGAATCTTCTTCCTTCTTGTCCTCCCTCCCTCCTTCCTCCTCTCAATCCATCTCACACACGTGCATCTCCTTCAGTTAATACGCATCCATCTCCTCCTATGTGTGTGGACGGCTGGCCAGGTGCTCTGGGAATACGGTGGGGAACAAGATCCAGCCCCACAGAGCTTTGGGGCAAGCTACACAGCCAAGCCCAGAGGTACCTCCCCTGGGAGCCCACATGTCCAGCACATACTAGGCTCTGTCTCGTGTTGTATCAACATTTTATATACTGCTCCTATTTCTCTGCCCAGATACCAAACTCCTTAGGAGTAAGACCATTATCTTTCATGTATTCATCCCTCCCTCCTCCCTCCTTTGCTTCACTGAGCACCCTGGAAGCACCAAGGATGTACAAGACTCTGACAGAGACAAACTCTGAAATGTTCATGATCCCCCACTGTGCCCTCCTGCAGCTCTGGGCCCACAGCATGTGGCCTCAAATGCTTGAATTTAACTGAGTTTCTGAATAACTACTGAAGACTTAGTGTGCAGTCAACAAATGATCCTCACGGGGGGTGTGCTGGCACCATGAGGATCTCACTCTTCCACGTGCAGCCAAAGGAGAGAGCTGGGGGCCCTGCCTCCTCCACCAGCTCCTGACGCCCCTCACCAGGCTGCTGTAGAAATGGCAAGGCATGGCTCATCCTGCTGGGGCCCCAGCCAGCCTGCCTGGCCTATGTCTCCGATGCCAGCGGCATTTCCATCCAGCCATCCTGCCCTGCAACCAGCACAGGGAGATGTGCATGGAGTACCTGCTGGATTCAGGCCACTGCGCTGGGCACTGGGACCTTGAAGGACACAGAGAGATGTCACTATTCTCCTGACCTCTGACCACCACCTGGCCTTGTCCAGTATACAAACTGGCAAGATGAGCAGCCCCCTTGTCACAGATGAAACTGACAAGTGAAAGGACTTGCCCAAGGCCACACAGCTGGGTTCAAATGGACTCTTTGGGCCTTTCATGCAGTGTTTCTCAGCCAAGACCTGACTCTCAGGGAGTTTACACTCCAACAGGGAGATGAGATATAGACAATAAAGACACAAGAGATTTTGGTAAATCTGCCATAGGAACTTGAAGCTCAGAGGTGACAACATTCTGAAGGTGGTAGGGTTTGGTCTAAGTTTCAAAAATGAGCATGACACAAACAGGTAGGTATGGACAGTGGGGACTGCAGGGGAAAAGCAGCAGAGGGGGAAGGTATTTGGTGTAAATAGAGGGCACCAAGAAGAGGAGCCTGGCTGGAGGTCACAGCAAAAGTTAGAGACCTAGGTAGGGATGCCTGGGGGAACCCAGGACATGGGGCTAAGCTGTTTTGACATTATGGAGGAAAGTGACCCATTCAAAGTGGAGCCTGAGGAACTTAAAAAGGGCCTAGATCGGGGAACACCTGGTCTGGCCAAACCCACTGCAGAATTCTTAACAGGACAATCCCATTCAGTTGCCAGGCTTGATTATTTATCACCACTCTTCCCCCACATGAGTATGTACAATAGCCTATTTCACACCCATCAAGGAGGAGCAAATGACGGTGATGAGGATGACAGTGACACTCAGAACTTCTGATACAGAATGCCTTTTTTTTCTCTTTGTTCTAAGCACGCATTGCATATAGGATCTCCTTTAATTCTCACAAGGATGTGCACTAGGCAGGTACTAGTATTTCTACTTAACACCTGGATTCAAACCCAAATCTCTGGCTTCAGAATCTGTGCTTTAACCCAGTAGGGTGTTCTGCCCTCCAGTGACCAGCTGATGGAAGGCAATATATATTCTCAAGTAGCAATTCTTCCTTTACCCTAAGAATGTCCCAACTAAAAACTATCCACAGTTCAAGTTTTGATCCTTAATTTGGAATAACAGAATTAAAAGTTTCAACTTTTATTTAAGAACTCTCACCCCCGTTTTACTGATTGGGAGACTGAGGCCCAGGAAAAAAAATTCCTTGTCTAGAGTTCCGTAGCTTGCTGGGATCTGAGGCAGACTTTCTGACCTGAGGTCCAGGCCCTTCCACAAAGGCTCTCAGTGCCTCTGAGGAATTTACCACCTGCTGGCCACACAGGATAAAAACACAGAAAGATAACAAAATCGAACAGAAGGGGCTTCTCACAGCCTGCTGTTCTTTCCCCTCATACCAGGGATTTTCAAATATAATTTTAGCAACAGACTCTCCCCAACACACAGCCATACTTTTCATGAAAAGCTATATAGGGCACATAGCTATTTAAAACATAACCATTCTCCATTGTTCTGATTGGGGGAGGGGGGAGGGGCCTGGAGCTCTAACTGCTGGGTCTACCCCTCCCACACCTCTCCATGGGGCTCACCACACTCCTCCCTAAAGCACAGTCTGAAAGTCCCTGCATCATTGCCTCTTCTGTTTGTGCCCCCACTCACTCACCTTCTTGGATTCTAAAACTCATCTCAAGCGCAGTTAGATGTTGACTCCAAGCAGGTAATGAGGTCAGCTCTGGGCCACACTGTGATGTTCTGAAATTATGCCTTGCAGATGGCAAGGCAGGCTCACCCCATCACCTCACGTGATCTTTGGAACCGTGCTCCGTTTTGCAGATGCGGAAACTGTGACCCAGACAAACTGCCCACCTGCTTATGGTCCCACAGTCAGGAGGAAGGGCCTCCACTCAAGCCTGTGGTGCCTGACTTCAAAACCCTAGACATGCCCAGGCCCTGCCCCAAATGTACAGAATTAGAAGCTGGGACTATGAGTTATTACATCCTGACATGATGACCCACTGTCACTCAGCATAAAATGCAGCAAAAAATGGTTTGGGGTCATTCCAGACCTCTGTTTCTCCTCGCTTCAGCTCCGGGGATGAAGACAGGAGACCCAGTCCCAAAACAGCAGCGAGCCTGGGCAGAACTTACTGTGTAGAGCTCATTGGTCACCTTCAGGAGCTCCTCATGCATCTGCAGGCCAATCTCCTTGCTCTGGAATATGGAAGAACAAATGTCAGAAAAAGAGAAGTTTGCTGGCTGCATTTACCAATCTCATTTCAACACAGAAAGGTCAGGAATGTTTTGGGTGGGGTCGGAAGGGGTACAGAAATCAGCATAAACTTCATTGATCTACATGTGAATTCCTCAACGTATGTCCATGAAATCAACCCACAGAGAGAAGTTCCTTGTGGATGGGATTCTCTGGTCATATGAGTTGGAGAACCCTCCACATCACTTCCCTACCACAGCGACTCACAGTGACAGGAGCATACTGCAGATGTGGGGAAGCCCCACAGAATTTTTCTTTAATTCTATGTGTCCTGGTCATACCAGGGTCTGAGTTCCTTGCACAATCCTCATTAATGGCTAGAGAGTGGGGTTCCATAGAACACAGTTTGAGAAACAATGATCTGGCATCCCAATTCCTCTTGAGATTAATAATTCTCAAGTCCTCCAGGAAACATACCAGGTCCTCCAGAACATGAGTCCCCAACCTCCAGGCCACAGATCAGTCTGTGGCCCATTAAGAACCAGGCCACACAGCGGGAGGTGAGTGGAGGGTGAGCGGGCATTACCACCTGAGCTCCGCCTCCTGTAAGATCAGTGGCGTCATTAGATTCTCATAGGTGCTGGAGCTGTAATATGAACTGTACATGTGAGGGATCTAGGTTGCCTGCTCTTTATGAGAATCTAATGCTGGATGATCTGTCACTATGTCCCATCACCCCCAGATAAAACCATCTAGTTGCAGGAAAACAAGCTCAGGGCTCACAGTGATTCTATATTACAGTTGAGTTGCATAATTATTTCATTATATATTATAATGCAAAAATATAGAAATCAAATACACAATAAATGTAATGTGCTTCAACCATCCCAAAACCATCACCCCACCCTGATCCATGGAAAAACTGTCTTCCACAAAACTGGTCCCTGGTGTCAAAAAGGTTGGGAGCCACTGCTCCAGAAGATGTTTCCTGAAGGCTTGTCTTCCTTGAATAAGAATCATCAGCTGGCACCCACTTGGACATAGCCTTCCTAGCTTTCAAGGACTGGTTACAACTGATGCCCTAACCTTGGCTGACTCCAAATTTCAGCTCAGGTCTCCCCTGTGCTGGTCCCCTGGTCTACCTAATCTTGTCTTACCACTGCCTGGATCCTGACACAGTGGCAGGTCCACACTGTCAAGGTATCTGTTCCAATGAGGGACAGGAGCAGTACAGGTTGGCAGAAAGCCCTCTAGGGTACAAGGCAAGAGATCTAGCTTCTCATTTCCACTGTTTTACCAACTGGCTGTGTGGCCTTGGAGAATCACTTCCCCTTTTGAGCCTTAGCTACCCCACCTATCAAATAAAAAGCATAAACTAAAACAACACTTCCCAAAGCATGGTCTGGAGATCATTGCAAGGTGCTATGCTAAAAAAGGGGGACAGAGGCTTCTAAGACTACATGCATTTGGGAAAAAGCTAGTTGAACAAAGATAGACAAGTTTTCTTACTGCAGGATTTCTCAGTGCCTTTTATATCCTTCCTTGCATGGAGACTTTCTAAGAAGGAGGTGTAGTGTGTAGTTTCCTTGATCATAGTCCTGTTTCCATGAAGTGGCTTTCAAGATATTTAAGGACACAATTCAGAAAACAATGAGAAAATTATCTTTAGGTTCTGTGCAGCTTGAAGAGTCTAGAATTATTTAATTTATGATTGTGATTATGATTTTGATAAATATTCTCTGCTATAATCTGAAAGTTTATGTCCTCCCTAAAATTCATATTATGAAATCCTAACCCTCAACGTGGTGGTATTAGGAGGTGACGTCTTTGGGAGGACATTAGGTCATAGGGTGGAGCCCTCATGAATGGGATTAGTGCCTGATACAGTTTGAACGTCTGTCCCTGCCAAATCTCATGTTGAAATGTAATTCCCAGCATTGGAGCGGGGCCTGGTAGGAGATATTGGATCATGGGGGTGGATCCCTCATGAATGGCTTAGTGCCATCCGCTTAGTGTGTGAAGTGTGTGGCACCTGCACCTTCCAGTCTCTCTCTGTTGCTCCCACTCCTGCCATGTGAAATGCCTGTTCCACCTTCACCTTCTGTCATGACTGGAAGCTTCCTGAGATCTCACCAGGAGCCTGCTATGCTTCCTGTACAGCCCGCAGAACTATGAGCCAATTAAACTTCTTTTCTTTACAAATTACCCAGCCTCAGGTATTCTTTTACAGCAATGTAAGAACAGACTAATACAGTGCCCTTATAAAAGGGACCCAAGAGAGCTACCTTGCCCCTTCCACCAAGTGGAGACACAGCAAGAGGGTGCCCTCTATGAACCAGGAAGCAAGTTCTCAACAGACATCAAATCTGTCAGTGCCTTGCTCTTAGACTTCCCAGCCTCCAGAACTGTGAAAAATACATTTATGTTGTTTATAAGTTGCCCAGTCTATTGTATTGTTATAGCTGCCTAAAAGAACCAAGACACTCTTCCTCTTTGCCTAGACCATCATGTTAAGTTTCTGTACTGATGATAAGAGCTGTGATCTCAGCTACCTGAGCAGCTGCAGCATCCTGCTCTCCCTTCCAGCTCCCTCAGCCTCATAGCTGGACCAGCTGCTGATAGGCAAAGGCCAGCCTTCCTCCCACCCTTGCAGAGATGAGAAACCCCTGAACCTAGTGGTAGTTCATGAAGGCTTAGTATCATAATGATGCCTTTTCAAGCTCCTTCCCCTCACCCCCTGTAGCCCTTTTTCTCAGCTTCCAGGCCTGGCTTGCCAAGAATCAGTCCTCTAAAGGTGGTCTCTGCTTGTGCCAGACCTCTTAACAGACAGCAGAAGCCTTGGGGGTAATTCCAGAGACCTGTCTAGATCTCCTTCCAGCTCTGAGACGTAAAGAAAGGAGACCAGGTCCAAAACTGCAGCAAAGGGTGTGCAGAACCTTCCGTGTACAGCTCACTGGGGAATTTCAGCAGTGTCCTGTGATTTCTGTACAGGTACTCTATGAACCAAATTAGCTACCCCCATCTCCTATTCTCCATGATTCTCTCAAGTGAACAATCAGTGCCTCAGTTTCCCCTGTGACCCCTCCCCCTGCCATTTACTCCATCACTGCTGACTCCAGATTCTCTGACACCCTCCAGTGGCCTCCTCTTGGTCCTCAAACTCCCAAACATCTCTGACACTGAAGATCTTGTTTCTTATGTGTTTATTTTTATGATCTAACGTTTTACATAGGTAATAAAGGCACATGGTTAAAGAAATTCTAACCGCCAGCAGGTAAATGTAAAGAATAAGTCTCCCAAGGCTCCTCCTAGTCTACAGGCAATGGCTATGAAAAATTTCCTCTAATACTTTCTAGAAATAATCTATGAATAAACAAGCATACATTTGCATATCATATGTTCTCTCAACACAAATGGGAGCATATCATACATTCCTTTGCATCTTGCTTTTTTCACTTAATGATGCCTCTGAGAGATTTTTCTGTCATGCAACTATTACATCCCCTTTTTAGCACAGCTGCTTGGGATTCCATATACCATAGATATCATAATTAACTTAGCCAGTTCCTTAGGGATTGATATTTACATTGCCTCCAGTATCTTATTATCTCAAACATTGATGCAGTGAACATCCTGTGTCCTGTCACTATGCACGTGGGCAGGGACCCCATCCTAGAGGCAGCTCTGCTGGGAAGAGTCTTGTCTTCAGAATTCCCTCCAGCTTTGCCTTTTTGGCCCCACATACTCCTGACTTCAGCTCCCACTTCTTAGTGACCAGAAGCCATGTTGTCATCTCCCAGGCCTCTCTCCTTGGATCTGTCCTGCCTAGAAGACCTTGAACCCAAGGTCAAAGACCTATGTCTTTAGCTGCTGCAAAACGGGTAGGATCTAAATATCCCCTCATCACATCAAACGCAAATTATGCAAAGGTGAACTGTTTCCCCATCCCTTCAGTTTTGGTCAATGGGATAGTATCTTCCTGGGTTTGTCAACTGGATATGTAGGAGTTCTATTTGATACTTTTTAAAATTCCTCCTTCTCAATCCAATCTGTAACTGGGTCCTGTCTGCAAACTGCCCAATTATTTCTTCTGAGTAACAGGCAAGCTGGCCTCCCCCACCTCCCAGTATCCATTCTTGACCTTCCTACTTCCTAAGAGATCCATGAATTTGCCCAGGAATTCATTCCTCCAGGAGAGTTCTTCAAGGGAAACTAGATGCCATCCCAAATCAAGATGGTAGATTCTGGTATGTGTTATTAGTCCAGAGGTGAGTATGTGACTTTACTGGATGGAAAAGAAAGACTTCCACGGTCAAAGGGAAAGTTTTAGCTTTTCTACTGAGTGCTGGAAAAAAAAAAAAATGCATGTACCCATGCATGTAGCCCAGTTGCTACCAGCAGGGATCTTAGAACCAAAAGAGAAAGCAGACTTACACTTCTGTAGTTATTGATTAAGTCACTTTCAGCTGGGTTTCTGTTACTTGCAGCCAAAAGCATCCTAAGGGATTTGGTCCCATTTTCCACCACCAGTTCCCATAGCAAGCACATCGTCACTGTAGACCCAGATCACTTTGTTAAGAGACACCTCTTACCAAAATCCTTAGCTCTTGTCTCTCTGAGCTTACAGTCTGTTCTGCAGGCCTGTGCCAGTGAAATTTCCTGGAAATGGACTTATCCTATTCCTCTAAATCCTCCTCATTGTCTACAGAATCAAGCCCCAGCTCCTTAGCTTGACCTTTGAGGCTTTACACAGCTAGCACAGGCCTGTTGGGCAGCAGAGGGGGTGACTTTGGGGGCCACAGAGACCTGGTTTGGGAGTAGGGCTTTCAGTATTCAACCTCTTGGCATCTTAACTTTCCTGACCATAAAATGAGCACCCTTTTATGTCTTCTCTGCACTTGTAAATGATCTTGTTTGTTTACTTGTTTATTCATTTATCATTTGTTTCCCCTGCTTCAATGTCAGCCCCATAAGGGTAAAGAGAATTTCTCTATGGCAACGA